TTTTTTTGGTACCAGGGATGGAACCCAGGACCTTGCGCTTGTGAGGCAGGTGTGGTGCCACTGAGCTAAATCCCCAGCTCCCTCTTCAGTATTTTTGGACCGTGGTTGGCTGCAGGCTTATGACTATGGTAGAAGTGACATCTCGTGGCTCTCCAGGGACACTTACTCTTGGAGCTAAGCCACTACAAGCCGTATGAAGATGCCACATGAGGCATTTTGGTGGCTACTTCCAGCCAAGGTCACAGCCTATGGCTAGTGTTTACATATAAACCTTCGAGTGACCCCAGCCCTCGCCACCTAGTCCTTCCATCCAAGGTTCAGACATTGTTAGCCAAGGACCAGTTGTTCCTACTATGTGCTCTATCCAGCTTCTGACCCACAGAGGTTGTGAGTCTGAAAAGGTGGTTTGTATCCCTATATTTTGGGCGTGTCTGTTACACAACCATAGATAAGCAATATACCCAGGCAGCCTGGCTTTGGAGTCATGCTTTTTTTTTTAATCCTGCAGTGCTTGGAATTGAACCCCAGACCTTGTGAATGCTATGCAAATGCTTTACCACTTAATCATTGTCCTATCCAGACCCGGTGCAGCAAATATAGGTCCAGTTTCTATTCCAGTGGGATTCCCTGGACCTGTACCCTTTTCCCTGGTCAAATCAGACTGCTTAATGGACCCAAATCTTCCCAATCACCCTGCTGTGACTTGTGCCCTTCCCTCCTCCTGGGAGTTAGCTCCCCACACACCCTCATTTATTCCATGCCAAGTTCCTTAGCACCTACTAATGCTAGGCACTGGGGAGACAAGGATGATGGAAACACCCAGTCATTCCTCCTAGGAGGTTTATAGTTTAGTGCAGAAAACACAGAAATACATGGAAAATTGCTGTGAGCTGATGGGAACGGAGAGGGACAACACATACTCAGCTATGGGAAGACAGGGAAAGGTCCCAGTAAAGATGACTTTCTCACCTGGCCTAGGGATGAGGAGGAGTTGACTGGATGACTATGTAAACATGGAGGGGGTGGAGGGGTTCTGATTGGGAAGGGGTCAGAGGTTGTGTGAAGGCCCAGAGAGAGGATGTGGGAACTGGAAGCTGTAGGGCACAGGTGCAGCACAAAGTCTGAGCTGGGGGCTATGAAGCTATGAGGCCAGGGCTTGGGTCAATGTGGGCAGGTGGAGAGGTTTCCATCCATACTGTGTCCCTTTGCCCTCATCTTATATCCCCCAATGCTATCATCCCCAGTTCAGATGGTTTGGGAGGGGCTAAGCTTGTCCTCTGGCTCCCAGGACTTGAGACCAGAGAGAGCCAATCAGACACTCATCCTGGTCTACCCACGAGGACTGGTCTATAGGTAACAGGAACCTGAATGGAGACTAGAGTCACTCGTAGGCTTTATGCAGAAATTCCTGGGAGAGCTGGGAAAGCCAGGCTTCCACAGTGGCCTGTGGAAGATGCTAGGAGGGAGAACAGGGCCTGACCCACCTGCACCAAGTACAGAAGCCAGCCGCACCTCGTAGCAGGGCTTCCCTTCCTGGTCCACTTCTTTGAAGAGACGAGTGTTGTAGGCACTGAGGTTCTGGAAAAGACCAGGGGAGGAGGGAGAGTGAGGTCTGGAGAGGGCAGAGGACATGGGAGAAGGGGATGGCAGAGCAGATGAGAGTCTCCAACGACCTTCCCAAGCTGGCTGGGAGGGGAAGAGGGTCTGGGTGGCTAGGGCTGACTGGCCCGCTCTGCTCTGTATGTTGAGCACTAACTGCTAAGCATGGACTCATGACACCAGGCAGTGCATGACCTCAGCCAACCTGGAGCTACCTGAGAGGCAGGAACCATTTCACAGGCATGGATCAGGGCCACACAGCTGGTGAGCAGCTGAGCAGCACACAGGCTCCAGAACGCTAGCTTGGAAGTGTGGCTCTGATGTTCTGCCTGATCCTCCCTGTCCTGGCTGTCATCAGGCCCTATAATCTGGTGGGTAGGGTGGCTCTATCCCTGTCACACCTGAGTTTGTCACATCTTAGTTTGTGCTAGGCTGACCTTGTAGACAAGAATTCCCAAAGTCTTTTCCATCTCAAAGACCAAAGATGCCCATGTCTCTGGGCACAAGATGAGACTCATGGGCAGGTGTCAGCAGTGAGGAAGTTGGGACAGAAGGTCCATCACACAACCGCCCTGAGTCCCCAGTCCCAAAACCTGGGAGTCCAGAAAGTCTTGGGCCAGTTTGGCATCTTCCATGGTACAATCCCCGGAGAAGTAGGTGGTGATTCCCTGTCAGGAGAGAGGGGAGGTGGGAAAGAGTAAGGTGCTGAGGTCAAGAGCTAGGAGCATCTGTACAGAAGGGAAGTAGATTCCTTCCCAGGCTTCCTGCACCTCTTCCCAGCAGCCTCAACTCCTCCACCTCTGTTCAGGGAAGAAAGTTGTAAAACACTGATCTTGGGCCTAAGGCTAAGCCCCTAAGGCTTGCCATGTCCTCTCCACACTCAGCCCAAAAAGCCTCCAGAAGCAGGAGGAAGCCTGGGCACTCTCCTTCCCCACATCCCTTCCTCAGGGCCCCCTACCTCCCAGCTTTTTTCACCTTCTCTCCTCCCCGCACACAGCATCCCGGAGGTCAGATCAGGAGGACATTCCAAAACCATTCCCCCAGCCTACTTACCATTTTACAGATGACAAAACTGAAACTCAGTGGGGAGCGCCTCTGCTTCAAGAGTGGGAAAGAGGCAGAGCCCACTGCTTCCTCATCGGCTGCCGTTCCCTCTATACCAGGGGGCCTGGATGGACAACCTCACTCCAAGCACTTGGGGGCCTCACCTCCTTCCCCAGCCCGAGGTGCCGAAGCCTGGGCTCCAGAGAGAATATAAGCTCTCCGCAGGTCTGCCAGAGGCCCCTGACTTCTTCTGGGTGCTGCTGCATGGCCCTACTTCCAAGGATCACACGCTCCAGCTTCTCCTGCAGGGATAAGGAGGCCATTGGCCCAGCCCCCTCAAACCTGCCTTCCAGAGCTGCTTTTATTCCCAAGCCTTTCACCCATAGTCTAAGAACACGATGTGGCCCAGGGACCAGCCACACTGGTAGGGCCTGAGAAGTGTCAAACCTCAGGCCTTCCAAATCAGATGTGCATTCTGACATTATAGGTAGTATGTGTAGGCAGTACAGACAGAGAAGCCTTAGTATATGGGCTCCACTTGCCTGGCCAGGCCCCAGTCCCATAGTCCTTAGGAGGGACCTTATGATGACCAACTGCTCCCTTTCTTAAAAGTGCTTAATCACATTCCACACCCTGCCCTGCTTGACCCTCAGATCAGCATGGTCTGGAAGGGCTGCACTTTTCCTGTGTGTGTGTCTGCAGCACCTGGTGAGACTGGGTGATCTCTGCAGTCACACAGTGTGGCAGTGACAGGGCCAAGGCTCTGCTCAGCACTCCTGACTCTGCTGGGGCTCCTTCTGCTGCCTTCCCCACCCCTACACCACTGGTCCCCTGCTCCCTACCTTCCCCAACCCTCCCTCAGCTCACCTTGGACAGGTTGGGAACAAACTTGGTATCACCAAAGGACTTGTAGTTGCCCATGTTGGAGTAGACCCCAGCAGCATAGACCAGGAATGCCTGAGGGGGAGGTGGCATCATTAGACACCTGGCAAAAGCACAGTCTCCCCCACCCTGGGGAAGGTTCCACCTGGGAAAAGAATGCCGGGCAGAACCATTATGGGTGAGGCTGGGAGATCTAGGGGCAGTACCTGAGTCCTGGAAGGCCCTGGACCCTAAGTTATTTTCACACCCTCATTTTCTAACCAAACTGGTTTCAGGAGTTTGCGAAAACATTCCAGGCATTCATCTACCTTTGTTCCTTCTACCCCCAGTACCACCTCAGCCACCTGTGGCTTGTATATTCTTTAAGGCTTAGTTCCAACATGACCTTCTCCTCTAGGAAGCCTATCCTCGGCCAATAGCTAGCTGGTCAGCAGCTGGCATCAGAAGGATGAAATGTTATAGCCAGGGAGCCTTAATCATCCATCTATGCTATGGCTTTTACTAGCCCCAAATCTAATCTCCCTTTCTCTGGTAAAATGACCCCAATGTTCCCTTTAGGAAGGGTGTGGAGATTTCCTTTCCCCCTGCTCTGGGGATAGGCACATAGGGTAGTTTAGCCAGCCAGAGAAATCACCTTCCCTGGCTAAAAGGATGAGCATAAGGCTCAAGCTGGTCAACACCATCAGGCCTGGAATCCCTGAAGTTCCCTTACTGGTGCAAGGAAGAAAGCAAAGCTGAGAGTTGAAGACGGCATCTCTACGGTAGCACTGAGCCCTGAATCCAGTAGTACCTTAAGCCTCTACTAGTCCTAGACTTTTCAGGTATATGAACCAATAATTCTCTTTTTCACTTAATCCACTTTAAACTGGGTTTCTGCTACTAGCAAACAAAAGAATTGTACTAAAGGTAGTAACATTCACTGGGTGTGCTGCTGCACACCTGTCAACCTAGAACTTCGGAGGCTGAAATAGGAGCATCACCACAAGTTCGAGGCTAAACTGGACTACAGAGTGAGTTCCAGTTCCAGCCCAGCCAGAACTACATAACAAGAGACCCTGTTTAAAAAAAAAAGAAAGAAAGAAATGAAAAAAAAAAAGTAACATTGTGTAGTACCTTTCAATTTATAAGCATGGCCACAGAAATTAGCTCTTTTACTAAGTAATCCAAGGTCTGAAATTAGGAAATGATTACCCAAAGTTCAAAAGAGGTAGAAGAAATAGTACCTTATCTCAGAGATTCAATACTTTTATTACACATATAGAAAATCAGGCCATATTCTCATACAGTCTTAGTGAAAATATAACTTGAAGCTTTTTTTGAAGATAATTTAACAGAATCAATTCATTATAAATACTATACAGAGCTTTCAATCCAGCAGTTCTACTACTTCTAGAAATAGATCTTACATAAGTGCACAAGTATGCTCACTGTAATGCTGTTTGAAAGAAAAATCAGGGACAACTTAAACATATAACAGTAACAATAATAATAATAATAATAATAATAATAATAATAATAATAATAAAAAGAGTGAATTAGGGCCAGGAATTTAGCTCAGTGGCACCATGCCTGCCTCACACGTGCAAGGTCCTGAGTTCAATCCCTGGTACCAAAATAACAGAATAAATTGATTATAGTGCACACTGCTATGGAATGTTTCACAGCCAATGAAAAAGGATGAGGTGGAAGGGAGGGTAGGGGTATGGGGAAAAAATGAGAACCAAGATTTGTCATGTAAAAGTACAAGATCCCAACAATGAAGGTACCTGTACTGTATACTTAAAAAAGTACCAATAAACTCAATAAAAAAGAATGAGGTGGATTAATATATACCTGATGGAAGTTCTCCAAAGACATAGTCTCAGTGAAACAAGGACAAAGAAGAATACAACATGATCTCATTTATGTACAAGAGAAAAATAAGGACCTGACATGCTTCATGTACGGGTATAGGTAGGAAATAGACAGGGGAGTGAAAAGTGTATATACCACACCAATCATAGTGGTCACCCCTGGAGAGGCACTGAATCTTTGTGTTTTTTCATGTGTCTTTTTGCACTGCTACAATGCACTAAGAATTTATGTATTACTTGGACAACAGATACACAACAAAAACTAGGAGACAGGCAGAACATTCTGCCTGGGGTCACAAAAAGTGGTAGAGAATGGATCCAGGACTCAGGCCTCCCTCTTCATCTCTATCCTGACTCCTTCCTCTGCCTTCTCTAAATATCTGTTACAATCACTGCACCTGCTATTTATCTTGAAGAAGGCACTGTTCTAAGTGGGTCATTACAACACCAAGAGGTACATTAAACCCACATGCATATTTTACAGATGAAAAGACTGGAGCTCTGGAAAAGGAGTTTCCTGAGTTTATAACCTTTGATCTAATCCTTCACCTATTCCAAGAAAGAGAGACTGGTGCCCCTGCATCAGTGTCCCTCACACCCAGAAGCCACTCAGGAAATGTGTTGTCCTGAGCAAACTGACCTGATACTCCTCCTCTGTGAGGCCCTCAGCCAGGGCATGTTGGCGCAGTTGGTCAGGGTCCTGGGCACGGAAGAGGCGGCTGAGCAAAGCATAGATGTAGGGGGCCTCAGGGGAGGTCTGTAGCAGCACAGCCAGGCCTCCATACCAGGCAGCCCGTGACAGGTGATGGGCATAAAAGCGTTCTGTAGGTGACAGCAGGCGGAAGGCCTCACGGCAGTCCAGGCTAGACACACCAATGTCATTGGGTAGGATGTACTGTGTATCCGCCATGGGCCCTGCAGGAAACCATCACTATCATCACAGCCATCACTTAGCATGCACCCATTGCACACCTGGCCCACACTCCCATGTTCTCATTTCATCCTTCCAAAAGTCCTGGAACCTATTCACCAAATATGCTGAGACTCAGAGAAGGCTAGGCAACTCACCAAGATTACTACACTGGTGGGCCATATTTGGCCCTCTCAACTTTAAGTCTGAATCCAACAACCTAGTACTACATAGGGAATTTGAGGCCAGCCAGCAAGTAGTTTTGCCTAATCACACAATGGAGAGGGCAGTAGCTGAGTATTTTTAGATTCCTAGCTCTATCTCCCCTCCACATCCTACTACAGAACTATTCAATACCTTACCACTGTTTACAAGAGCAGAGGGCCAGGCTTCCAGCTGGAAGTCCCTGGTTTCAGTCCTGACTGGGTACCAGATTTCTAAAATTCAAAACAATTGCTTTACTTTTCTGTACCTCTCTTCTTCCCTCTGTAAAAAGGATAACCATTTATTTCCCCAACCTCAACAGAATATGCAAATTAGGTAAGGTCAACCTTAGACTGGATATACGTCTCAGTAAGGATCTTGCTTGTGCTCTTTTTCTCCCTTAGGGCTACCGGCCATCTGTCACATTCTCATCTCTCTACCTTTTCTTCAGTACTCCATTCTCCTTGCCTTCTCTTTGCGCTCGTCCAGGGGAGCCACAGAAATCCACAACCCATTTTACAGATAGGGAATTTGAGACTTGGCCAGGCCAAGCAACTTTGACCAAAGTTCTCAAAGCCCCGATGGGTCCCGAGAGTCTTGCAACCCACAGCATTGTCCACGTCTCCTTCCTTGACCGGAAAGGAACGTCCAGTCTCCCCGCCCCTCGTCCCCGACTCGCGAGGCTCCGCCCCAGTCCCTCGGGTCCAGAAAGAAGTGTTAACTCTTTGCTGCCCTGAACGTTTCTTGGCCTCGGAGGCAAGAGAGATGTGAAGAGGTTCTGGAGAGTGAGCAGAAAAGGAATGATCTTGCGCTCGGCCCAGACTCGCTCTAATTCCCTGAAAATGACATAATGTGACCCTGAAACGCGGCGCCGCGCCTCACCTGCAGCTGCTGCTCCTTTCGCAAACTCACTTCCTGCTTCCGGCTACCCCATTCATTGGGCTCCGCAAACCCCGCCCCCATCAGCCAATTGCCAGGCACTGGGGCCCAGATAGGCGGCGATTCCAACCAATAGACTCGCGGAATGGCGCTCCTCCCACCCTCCGGCTCACAACCCGCAGGCCCTAAGTGTAGAGAGTGGCTGGGTCCCTAAGGCCTCGATTTTTTGTCCTCTGGCTACGCTTGCGCACAGCCCAGCGCATCGGTGCCTTGGCCGTGTCCTGGTCCAGGCAGATGGGATTTACAAGGTCCCCGAATCCGGACAAGGCTGGCTTGAGTGTCATGGATAGAGCCGTCGAGACCTCCCCAAGCGACAGCCCGAACTCAGCTCTTGGGAGTTTCACCCCCTGCATCCCGAACTCAGCATTGCTGGTGGGAACCTGCACAATGGAAGTAGCGTGGCTCTCACTGGGTCTGGGATAGAGATCTTCGGACTCGCCTGAGTACTCGGTGCTGGAAGAGAGGCTGATGAGCAGGCTGCGGCCGGGCGGAGGTGGTCCTACTCGCGGGGGGGGGGGGGACGCAGAGAAACGCCCCCAGTTCCTCACCTTGCCGCCAGCAATTCGCCAGGAGCGTGGGACAACCTCTAAAGGTTTTCAAGTCTCAATTTCCCCGGCACACAGGGGCGAGGGCAAGAAGGAGTTGGAGGCTTCTTGGTGCTTGCCAGGTGTCCTAGAGATGAGAAAGTCCCTTGCTTCCTCCGAAATGCAGCCCAGGACCGAGGCGGTCTTGAATTACTCTCCCATACGTCAAAAGTCTAGATATGGCACGAAGTACCTACTGCCGGCTAGACAGAGTGGGGAGCATCGGGCGAGGGTCTTCAGTCAGACTCGAGGCAGAGCGAGGTCTAGGGGCATATCTGGCTTCTGTCACCTACTGGCTGTTTTGACCTTATGTGCGTCACTTTACTCTTCCGGCCTTGGCTTCGTCGATTGGAAAACCGTACTAATTGAATCCATTTCAAAATATTGTAGGCTTCAGTGACTGTTGGCTGGGCACGACTGTCCCTAGGTGTGCGTATGTGTGGTGTGGGAGGGTGTTTGGGAACTGAAATTCTCACTATCCTTGCCAAGCCAGTTTCTCATTCATGAAGGTGCCCAAGGCCCACCTCTGCACAACCATGCTACTAGTTGTTGGCTCTGGTGACTGTCATTATAAGGGTAAGTTTAAGAAAGGGGTCTCTGCCCTTAGGAATGTCACCTTCTTTTCTGTGCCTGTTTTATTCTTTAAAATTGGTGTAAAGTTGAGGGACTTGGGTGAAGTTGAAATTAACTCAGGGCCAGGGATTTAATTTAGCTCAGTGGCACAGCGCCTGCCTGGCACGCACGAGATCCTGAGTTTGAAACCCCACACCAAAAAAGAAAAGAAAAAGGAAATTAACACAGGAAGTAGAGCTGTGCACTGCCGCCAAGGGGCAGCTCAGGAAAGCAGTAGATTCCCCAACCAAGCTGCACTATCCTATTTTTATGACTGCAGCTAACACGAGCACTTACTGAGGGTCTTTTGCCAGAATCTTGCCATGAGAACTCCCTTGCAAATGGCTGAGATTCACTGACATCCTTGAGATCATGCAGCATGTCTTCAGATGTCCCAGAATTGGGGCCTAGTCTTATCTAACCTGGCACTGTTCCAACTAATCATTCTCATATTCATATTCTCCCCCCCACACACACACACCTCATCTGGAAGTCATGGCAATTTCTACCTTAGCCCTTCCCTGTGGTAGGTGGGGAAGTAATATTAAATGTCTAATGTATCATAGATGCCTTCCTTAAATTCACAACCACCTAGTAATATAAGACTCTCATTCCATTTAACACTACAGCAACTGAAGCTTCAAGAGCTGGCTGGGGCAACTCCAGGGATGACACCTCCCAGCGATTCCCTCACATTATCCCCAGCACCCAGAGTGGTGCTTTTGCTTGTCTTGCCCACAGCATGAGATTCCCTGCTAAAATAGGATCAGAATATTCCCATCCGGTCCCCAACAGGGTTAGAAGGAGGACAACAGAGGAGGGTTGCATTTTTAGTGTTTTATGTGGGGGTGGGGAATTGAAATGCTCCCATACTTAGTCTACCATTGCCATCTACCCTCTCACTGTATCCAGATACTCTGGAAGCAAGAATTTGATCACATCCTTCTATCACCATACATGGTGCCCTCTGTGCCAACCTAAGACTGATCCCTAGCCCAACCTATGACCACAGGCAGATTCCTCCCCATGGAATCTGCACTTCTAAGGTTCTGGCACCTGTCCTACACTGGGACAATGCCCAGGTCATGCCTGTACTCAGCTTTCTCTTCCTATCTCTAGAACATCTGTGTTATTTGCCTTCCTAGTAATGTTAGGAACCAATCCCAGCATCTCTTGGCTCACAGGAAAAGGTAATGAACAGGGGTCCAGCTCAAACTTGGCCTCCACAGCTACCAAAGCCCACCAGGCCCCAGCCCAACCACTCCCACTTCACTCTTCTTCTGCCCCATTGGTGTTTTTCTTGCAGAGTCCTGCTGTTTCCCTCACCTGAGCTGCCCGCCCAACACCACCCTACCTCTGGAGAAATTTCCATTTCAGACATGGCTCAGGCTCCAAGCCATCCCTGTGCCTTCTTAGGGGGCCTCAGATCTCAGAACATCCCAGGTTGGCTGACGGCCCACTGCATTAGGGGGTACTGGTGGGCAGTGTGTTGCTCAGCTTCACTGCCAGTTCCAGTAGGTCCTTTCTCACATTAGTTGCTGGAGAGGTAGAGTCTATCTCTGCTATGATTCTGCATGGGGCCAGGCACTGAGCAGGTGGGTATCTACCACTCCATTCTCTAGCCTCTCCATGGGACAGATCCCCAAAACACTGTTCAGTAAGGCCCCACCCATTTAAGAAAAACCCATATGACAGAGAGGGGTAGGCTCTGCCATCTGATGGGCAGCGATGGGTTCAAATCCTGGCCCAGCCATTTTCTAGCTGTGACTTGACACATGCACATTTATATTCCTGAGAATGCAAATTGTGACACCTCCCTCCCCATATTACTGTGAGGATTAAACAACACAACCTCTGAGAAGCAGAGCCTGGGGCTTAGTGAGTGGTCAGTGACCGCAGTTGTTATTACCATTGGCATGGTTCAGGGCACATGGTGGGCGTTCAGTGATGGTAGCCCTTGTGTCAGAGCCAATGCTCTGAAGCATGTATGTCCCCTTCCTTTGTTGACTCCTGGATATCCACAAATGAGTCCTCTATCCCATTCTCATGTCTTATGTCTTCTCATGTCATCCCACTGTCTTTTCTAGCTCTTCCCACTGTAGTCTATGCTCCAGCCCCACTGAATCTGTCACTTGGTCCCTATTCCTTATCCCCAGCCTGCACACAGTATGCAGAGTGCCCAGCTATTCTGTGGGCCTGGAGGATTCTGAACTGCCATGGAGGCTGAGCTCCTATGTTACCTCGTGCATAAAGCATTGCTCACTTACCCGCAGCCAGCAAGGACTGCGCCCGACCTCTGAGATTCTCTGATCCTAAAACACATGAAAGTATCTGTCATTTGGTAATTTGGTCCATCCTCCAATAGTCTGTGAACCGTACCAGGCAAGAAACTTGACTGTCTCTGTGTTCCCACAGTCCACTCGACAGAGTCCAGCCCATGGTGGGCATAAGCAAATGCCAGTCCCAGCTTGCTGCCTACCTGTCACTGGCTCAGGGCTGGAGGCATTGCATGCATGCAGAACATGCATATCAGTGAGGGCAGCTGAGCAGCGTTTATAGAGGAACGCACAGCAGCAGCAGAAAGGACAAATATCTGGTACTGGGTTGGCAGGCTCAGGGCGCAGTCAGCCTAAGCTGGGGGTCAGTGGCCGTAGCCCCTTCACTCCCCCAGGGGCACAGTGTAGGCGGCATGATGTGGGACACCCCAGGAAGAGCAGGGGCATGGGGCTGGGCTTCCCTTCAGCAGCCTAGGATAGACCTGGTGCTGAAGGCCCATCAATATGACTGGGGTGGAGATCTTGGGGATCCCCTTGGGGGTCAGAGTTAGGGAGAGGGGTCACAGCCCATCCAGTATGTCCAACCTGTGAGGCTAAGCGCCAGCAAGTAGAATCCCACATGCAGAGCTCCATCTGGACTGCAGGATGGGGGACCTTGGTGGGCAGTCAGGTGAGGCAGCAGGGGTTCCAAAGAGCCTAGTCCAGTGGCCCTTGGAAAATGAGGCGGACACAGCCATGCTCTCCAGTGAGCCAGGCCCCACAAAAGGGACAGGCAGCATGGAAAGCATGGGTACCATGGGGCAGCGGTGTCTGGGCCCAGTATCGGGCAGTCTTCTCAGAGCAGACATGGCCACAGGGAGCAAAGGCATGGCTGGGCGGCCCAGGGTCCAGGCAGAGGCCAGCCTCCTGGCCAAGCCACAGGGGCACATAGGGCCCCACAAGGCGGCAGAGAGGACACTCGCGCTCCTGGGGGCCTCGCTCCCGCCGGCAGCCCCAGCCATGGTAGCCATGGACATGGCCACAACGGACGTAGACCCAGGGTTGCTGCTTGTCAGGCGCTGTGCGGCCCCGGGCTGGACTGGGGAAAGCCAGGGTACTGAGGCCCACGGGGCACTGGGGCCGTGCTGCATTTGCCTCCTGCCGCTGGGCCTCCAGCTGCTTCAGCGTGGGGGCCCGCAGCAGCCCTGCTGGAGTGCGCCACAGCAGTGTGGCCCCACACAGGTCGATGAGCGAGCCGTCTTGTAGCACGTTGGATTCATTTTCCACCTGCCAGGGGCAGCAGAAGGGCCTTAGCCCAGGAGGTTCAGGCCCCGCCATCAGGCAGTCTCACCCCGACAAGCTGCCCAGACATCCCACTGACACTGCCTACAAGTGGTACCTGAGAGGCTATGTGGAAGGGCAGACAGGTGCTCCCCAGCCACGTGCTGTCACTTGCTCTCAGTAGGACCTGGGCTCAGTTAAGGGTCCTAATCTACCAAATCAAGAGGTCTAGACCGAAACAGGGATTTTCAAAATTCTTCTGAAGCTCTTCCATAATCAGAGAAGTAGGACATGCCTCTCACGGAAATGCTGGATACTTAGCCCAAAGCAGTTGTCCTAGGGGTCATGGTTAACAACAAGGAGTCTAGAGCCAGAATTCCTGTGCCTGAATTCTGACCTCGCCATTCAGTAACTCAGTGTCCCTGGGAGAGCAGCTCGACTATTCTGTCTTAGTCTCCTCTCATCAGGGTAGAGTCAAGTGGGTTTCATTAGGGCTATATGAATCAATCTGTGTAAATGCTTGAAATGGTGCCTGGCACATAGTGGTTGTTCAGCAAACATAATCATAGTTCAAGTGCATAGGTTTTTTAAATAATGCTTCCAAAATTTGTAGAATGCTCTAGAAAGATAGGCTGCTTTCCTCTGAGGTTTTGAACATCCTCACCTGATAGGCTCAGACTCAGGAAGAGCTTTTTATGGCCTGTGCCCCTACCTTTCTCTAGGACTTACTCCCAGATCCCACCCTTAGTTCTGTGATTGGAAGAGCAGCTGGCGCTGGCAGCACTACTCCAAGGGCACCCTTTCCTGTTTTAAGGGGATAACAAAGCTAAACCTGCCTGAACCTGGCAGGCTCGCTACAAACTGCCAACACTCCAAGCCCCGCTACATGCCACAGCTGGCTGTTTGTATCACTGAAAGCTCTAAAACACTCGCCATCATTGCTCTAGGCTATAAACTGCTCACACGTGGGCCAAGTGTCACCCTCCTGAGAAAGTATAATTTTTTAAGCTGTCATCTGGCTCCAAGCTGCTTGGTATTGCATGGTGCATCTGTGTGACTGTATTTCACATCATCTGTGGACCTCCAGCAGTGTGCAAGCTACTCCTGGGGATGATAGTCTAGTCCTGTCTGAGTGGCAAGTGGTGTATTTTCTAGAGCCCCCTTGGACTCCCTCAATGTCCACTGGGGCTCCCTTGGGCAGGGGAACTGCAGATCATCTGGCTTGGCAGAGCATAGGCAGATTGGGAGTGATTTGGGTGGGGTGAGATAGAGTGGGGCCACCTACCAGCTTCCCCCGCTGCTGGGCTGAGCGGCTGTCCCGCAGCGTGTACACGTTCCCGCAGACTGAGATCTCCCGCCAGACACCCGGGGCTGAGTCCTCGGAGAAGCCGCCCGCAGGGTGCATCACCAGGACCCCATTGGTGGTCAGGCCATCCATCAGGCCATCGGGGGTCCGCCATTTGGCTGCCCGCTCCTGGGACCACACGAGGGATCAAATCACATCCCTGAGTAGCCCCTAGCAAGCTGTGTGCTAGAGGTGCTTCCCCCCTTCAGAGGTGGCCCCAAGAGGGGGCTGCTAAGCCCTGTGCAGCATGGTCAGGATAGCTGTGGGCTGGCCCATCTCGCCAGGCTGCTGTTACTCCCCAGCCTCCCCTTTGGCTCACTCTCTGATGAAGAGTTGGTCCCTGCCTGGGGACTCACTCACTCCAAGGAAGATGTTGCTGGAGGCGTCAAAGCCAGCGGCATAGATGCGGGCAGTATAGGGTGGCCTGCGGTCACAGAGGATGCGACAGGCATAGCGGGAAATGGTGCTCTGGGCAGAAGGGCCCTCGACAGCATTTCCTCCAGGGGATGTATCTGTTACCACAAAGTCGATCATGTTCTCGGTGGAGCGGCCAATCTGCAAGGGAGGTGAGGGCAAGCATAGGGGTTACATGTGTATGGGCACATCTTAACAGCTTCCATCCCAGAAACTTAACAGCTGCTTTGCATGTAGGGCTACCAAACAATGAGACTCCCAGGCCTCAAGGAGAGGTAGTGCCATCACAGCTTCTGGGGCTTTCTGGTCTCTATGTCCAACAACCATGGTCTGAAGCCTCTCATTTCTATTACCTCTACCTACAGCTCTAGAGAACACCCCACTCTATAAGAACTAGCCATTTTGCTGACACAACAGTAAAAAGGTGACACACCTGTATAGGCTACAGACTAGCAACCAATAGTGAATTTTTAGTTAGAATTCACTACATGCTAAGCATTTCAGCTATAATGCCTCGATTAATCTTCCCATGGGGTAGGTGCTATCATAGGCCCCATTTATAGATAAGGAAACCAAGGCCCAGACAGGTGCTGTGTCTCACCTGTGGCCTGCAGATTGGACATGCATGGCTGCCTGGGCCACAAAAATGAGTGAAGAAAAATTGTCTTGGGCCACATATAAAATATATAATATTGTTAAAAATATAAATAACAAAACTTCCTTTATTTTAAAGTTTTTTTTGTTTTGTTTTTGTACCAGGGATCAAACCTGCGTCCTTGCGCTTGCAAGGCAGGCGGCGGAACCACTGAGCTAAATCCCCAGCCCTTAAAGTATGTTTTTTTTATTATAACACAGGCTTGTCCACCCTGCAGTTTGCCCAGTTATCCAGTAGTAGGCAATGCGGCTGGCATCTGAATCCAGGCATGATGACTCACACCAGCCCTCTAATCTCTGAAACTATATGGCCTCCTGCTGGTTGGTCATCTTGAGTCTGAGCTTGATAGGCCACAGACATACTGTGATGTAAAGTCAATGGCCCATGGGGGACATCCTGCTTCCACATCTGAAGAGCAGCCCACTGCACCAAGTACTCTGAAGCCCACTTCTCAGGGCCTTCAGCCTTGTGTCCTTGGCCTGGGTACCTGCACAGCCCAAAGGCCAGGAGGCTGGTAGAAGGGGATAAGCATACCTGGAACATGTCTGTGTCGCTGTCATGTGTGTATTCCACTATGACCGAGTGGCTTCGGGACAGTGTGTATGATATACTGTGCTGGCCTCGGTTACTCAGTGCCTAATGGAGAGAAAAAAGTCATTTCCCACAGGATAAGTCATGAGAAGTATAAGCTTCTAAGGCAGAAACAAGATCAGGGCTCAGCACTCATTCCTAGGAAAGGGCAGAGGTAACAGGTACTCTATGAAATTACATGATTTAATCTTCCAGTTACCCCAAGAGTGGCTTATTGTTCTCATTTTACAGCTGAGGGAACTACAGGCTAGAGAGAACTGACCAAATGCCACATGGCTGGAAACAGCAGAAGTTGATTTCCACTCTAATCCTCTAAAGCCAAAGCTTTCCCTTTGCCACTGCTGTATGACTGTCACATGCTGCTCTTGGAGCTCTAGCGACCTCTAAAATGATGCTCATCATTTCCATGAATGAATAGGATCTAGAGGTCAAAGAAACATTTTGCAAATATAAAGGACTATGCACACTGCAAAGGAATTTTCCATCACTGCCATTTCTTTGGTAGCACAACAGGCAGTGAGGTGATGACACACTGGGCTCCACGGTATGGGGGACTGTGGACAAGAAGGTCTGGAAAAGCTGAAGACTTGGGCCTGGTGCAGCACCCTGTTGACTGGGATAAGCAGCTTGCCTTGGATACAAGCGGTGTCGAGATGTGGTGCATGACATCTGGCTTCACTCCGTTGGCATGTGGCCGGCGGCTCAGTGCCAGGCGGCTTCGCCGGCGGCCCTTGTCCCCACTTGCCAGACACCCGTTGTAACTATGGGTATAAGGGTTAAGAAGAAAGGGTTGCAGGAAGAGAGAGAGAAAGAGAAAGTGAATCCCTGATAAGATATGGAGAAAACTGCCAACTCTAGGTAGATCCTACCTTGATAGGCTATAAAACTACCCAAAGCTAGAAGACCCAACAATAGCCAAGTTCATGTCTGGGGCAAGTGTCTTTCATTCAATTAATCAGGTGCTTCCTGAATGCCTGGACCAGTGCTGGGTGCAGGGGCAGTAGAGATGACAGGTCTGTTTTGTGCTCTCATTGAAGGGGGAACCCCAGCTTCTCAATGAACCGAGGTACCACCTGTCATGACCCAGACACTGAAGGGGGAACCCCAGCTTCTCAATGAACCGAGGTACCACCTGTCATGACCCAGATACTATCGTGCACCCCAGACTCAGAGGGAGAAGAGAATACTGGCCCTTGGAACAGGTTTCTAGGAGAGGAAACACCTATTTTTAGCCTTGAAGAACTGGAAAGGATTCATCTGTAACAAACTATCATTTATTATACCACTGCTAGAAAACATAATGAAAGAGAAAAATAGACCCACAATGCCATTGCCTCCATATCTCTGTACATTTCCACCCTCCTTTCCAGCTCTTGTCCAGAGGGAATGTTCATGAGAGGCAAATATGGGGTGAGTCATAGCCTTGATTGCTGCCATGTACCGTTGCCTCTGTTTCTTGTCCTTCACATTATTAATTACCTAATGGAATCTGTGCAATGTCCTGCCAGGCAAGTGTCTTTCTTCCCATTTTACAAATCGAGGCTCAGGAAGGTAAAATGACTTGCCTCATTGTTGGAAAGTGAAAAAGCCCAGATTTGAGCTCAGGTCTCCCTGACTCCAGACTTGAAGAAGCTGGTAGAGATGGAGGGTTCATTCTGAGCTAAGGACCCATGGCTGACGTAAAGTGGTGAAATCAGGGAATGGTGAGTTGGGTGGAAAAGTGTAGTAGGGAAAGATGAAGTTGACAGAAAGGAGCTGAACACCAGTCTAAGAACATTATTCTATAAATAATGGGGTGGTACAGAAGGTTTTGAAGCAGAAAATGATAGGATAAATAAGTGCCAAATACAGAAATAGGACCACTTGAGTCAGTCTCTGGTGAGTTTGTTAAAATCCGGATTCTCTGGACCCCTCTCTATAGATTCTGACGTAGGCTTGGGGTATCTGTTAACATGTGTCTTCAGTGTACTCTGCCAGTGTTTCTGATACATAGCCTAAGTGGAGTGTGTCTGTTCTGCACAGGAAAGACAGCTGTCAAGAGGGTCCATATTCTGAGGTCTGCAGTACCCCCACATCAGTGGCTTTGACCTTAGCTGGAAACCAGCCCTTCCTTTGAGACACTAAGCCCTGCTTTTACAGTGCAATCATCCCTAAAAGGGGGATTGCTTTTGCCTTTTGAACCCTTCTCATATATTGGGAAGAAGTGTCCTAAGCTTAGAGTGCATTTTGAGGAAATAAAACATTTAAAAATTTTTAAAATGCTTGGTTCATGGGCTGGGGATGTGGCCTAGTGGTAGAGTGCTTGCCTAGCATGCATAAGGCCCTGGGTTCTATCTCCAGCACCACAAAGATATATAAATAATCAAAATGCTTGGCACAGAGTTTGCCATAGTTATAGCATGCCCTTGATAAGTGTTAGGTATCGTTATTTGTTTTAAAGCATGTGGCAATAGGAGCCAGCAAACAGTAATAATTTTTATTCCTTAATCATCATAATCATGATACTACAGCCTATCAAGTAGTTTCTTCAAGACTGATAGTAAAGAGAAAGGCCAAAATTAGACACAGATGGGATGAAGAAGAAGGATATGGGCCTGGGAAGTGCAGGGATCACATCAAGCAAAGACCAGGAAGGAATAAGGTCTGCCTAGTCACCAATTCCCATTGCTTCCTCTTTCCTGGCCTCAATTCTCTCATCTGTAGCATGAGGGTGAGCTGTGGCTTAGCGACAGTACACTAGACCTGGAGTAAGAAAGACCTGATTCCAAATCCCAGCCCTGCCACTTACCAGCTGTGTGCCCTTGGGCCAGTCACTTCCCCTCTCTGAGCCTCGGTTTCCTCACCTCCTTCCTCACAGCATCTTTGTGAAGATTGAAATGAAATAATATCCATGAAAGGGCTTGGCACAGGCCTGCCTCCTAGAACACTTGATATGCACTGGGTGCTGTCTTATGTGCTTTACAGCAATCACCTCATTCCTTCCTTTTGACAGCCCTCTGAGGCAGGGATTATTATCAGCCCTGTTTAGAAAAGGGGGAATCTAAGACTGGGGTAGTTTGGCATCTTGCAGAGGCAGGATGGTAACCAAGCAGTTTGGCTACAGAACCAGAGTTCTTCACCCCACACTACACACACTAGGTGCTTTAGGAAAGGCAGCCGGTGTTACCTTTTTCTTATCACCTGATCAAGAAATTTATGAGAAACAGGAAGACAAAATAATCATTATGAATTGGGGTGGGTTTGGTCAATTGTATCTTTCAGCTGGGAAGGTGATGAGGGACAAACAGCAGAAGGCCATACATGGGGAGCTGGGGCCCGCCTTCTGTCTGCCTTAGGGGTGCCTGGTGCCCACCCCTCCTGAACAGGGAGGCTCACCCCAGGACGATGAGTTCACCATACTTGATGGGCTCCTCACCAGGCTGTGCACCTTCACCGGGAGAAGAAAGGAGACAAGAACCCTTGTTCCTGGTGTGCTGGAGGTCTGAGGTTCGGGGGGACCCCACATCAGGGTTTCCCTCCAGCACCATTCTGGGAAGAGCAACAGAGGAGAAAAGAGCTTTGCAACCCTCCCACCCCAATCCTAGCTCCAGTGGGCTGCAAAGTGTACCTCGTCTAGCTTTTCATCAGCTCTATTGTTATAGTAACCATTCATTTCTGCCACCCCTAAACTGTCTCCTAAACTGTGATACTAAGGAGGGAAGTGTGTGGGATGCAACCCAGAGGGAGGAATGGCACAGTAGAGGATCAGGACATTTGGTGGAGCTGAGGAATGGACTTGGGAGTGGCCAAAGGCTCCTTTCTGGCCAAGACCCTGGCCTGGTTTGTGCTTGGAAGAGGAGCAATCCAGGATTTGGGGGCCCTTACCCCTGATCTCAAACTCCGTCCCTGGCTTAAGCTCTCAGACACTAAGTCAGGTTCTTGGGTTCCTTTTGTTCAATGTAATATTTCTAACCTTTTGCAGGTCTAGGCCTCTGTCTGTTTCTCAGTGACTCTCTGTCCTCCCATCACTGTCCTTTTCGCAGTCTCTTTCCAACTCCTCCCTTTCTGCGCCTCTTTGCCTGCCTCCATTTCCATATCCATGTGCCTCAGTCTCCCCATCATGGCTTCACCCTGCGGGCAGGCTTCAGGATCTCTCCTCAGTGCGCGCCCCCTCCCTCCCACCCGCCCGCAGGTGTCCGTCTGCGGACCCCAGGCTGCCCAGGTGTCTGGAGGCCTGTGGGGGGGCGGCGCTCCCTCTCGGGTTCTGGCTGCAGCAGGGGCGGTCTCCCGCAGGCAGCCTGTATGGAAAACAACCGACGCCGAAGGGACTGCGCTGGGCAGGCCGGCGCCCCACGCCCCTCGCAGGCAGGATAACAGCCCAGGGCATACGCAGATACACACCGGCCCCTCCATACAGACAGGCGCGCGCGCGCACACACAGCCCCAGCAAGCCCGGGACTCGCGGGCACTGCCCGGACCAGCGCAGAGCCCAGCCTGCACCCGCGCCCACAGGGACTCACACG